AAGATTGTGTCATGTTATTTAATTTGACCAATGGTACAAAATTAATACAGTTATCTCGTCCACGCAAAAGTTAAATTTTTTCAAAAGTTTTCATTTATTATACGCGGGCATTTTAGCTCGTAATCAGTCCTTGTTCTTACCGTCTTGTAGATTCAGAGAATCGAATGTGAGTTCTAATTTGTACGCAAAAAGTCACCTACTGTCGAAGAGAATTATCTGCTGATAGTATTTACATAGAACCGCTTTCTATGAGATTATTTTTTCAAATTAAACAATTTATTTACACGAACTATTTCTGCTGATGTCTCCAGAGCAACACAGCAGTCATTGGGAATTTGTTTTCGGCTCTGGAACCTCAGGGCTTTTGCGGATCCTCCATGTATTTGGGAATCCTTTTTTCCAGCAAACATTCAGTAAAAACGATATTATTTTAGCCTGATTCTGATTGCATCACGGGTTGGATGACGCCCGGTTATTCGTTCAAATTAAAAGATCGATATCTGTTTGCCAGAAGACCAAACGCAGTGCCAATAGATGTACAACAAGATGCGGTTGTTCAGTCGTATCATCATCAGAATGGAATGCTCAAATTTAGCTTCAAAAGGAAAGTGAACACATGGGTATATGACTACGTTTTCAATACAAAATTATGCTAGAATAATTTACCTACCTTATATTATTTTATTGCCATTACTCGTATTAACTTTAATTTCAGGACAAACATGACAAGTCTCTTGATAGATGTCGCTACTTCTTGTTTTCCTGGGGCGGGAGGGGTTTTGATGATGGAAGGATCACCGCTCACACCGCACAGTTTGCAACAAGAAGACTAATCTGCTTAGGTAAGATATATTGCGACGCTGACAAATTTAGTACCGTGGCATACTATGCTTAGTTGAGGCCTTTGTGGCTGTTACTTCCGACTTATGCCATATATAAATGCGAGACGTCCACATTGAAATCCAATATAACAACTATTGTTATGCTCTATCGTCGTCAACGTGTTATGTGTTTGATTTTAGAATACAATTCTTGCCAGCATAAAAGATGTGGGGCAAATCAACATTGTGTTCATCGCAACGGTCAAGGACATTGCCAATGTGGGATGGGTTATTACAAATCATATGGCGGATATTGTCAGAGTAAGTTTCATAACCTGATATATATACCTACGTATTTTTTCTGGTATAGTTTTTCTCTTTTGTAGTTTCGAGACCTAGATCAGGTAGAATGTCTAGTTCAGGGGTGCACAACCTTTTTGCTATTGGCGGCCACATTGCATTTATTTGTATTCAATAGGCCATAAGGCATCTATGGGGTTGATGAGCGCGCCCAAAGCGCGATTTTTTTGCTTTTATGACATCATAACCGCGTATTTGACACATGCGAGGTGCAGTCTGCCCAATGAAATATGTAGGACTACTTGGAAGTATATTATTCACATTTCGAACGGATTGTTCTTTTTGGTGGACCGAGTCCTGAGCAGATATATTGCAGCAAGTTGCATAATGATTGCCCAATTTTGAAAAAATTCGAAAGTCGGGGAAGGGGGAGGTTGCCCCCATTTTCTTGTCCCCAAAAGTATAATAAAATGTTAAATATTTTATTGAATTTATTTATAAAAGTTTGCAAAGCTTTGTAGCAATTTAAGGACTCCCTTGGTCTTGCATGTGGGCTGCCGAAACGCGTGATCAATCTGAACCGTGAAGGGAAATCCCCAACAGCAAATACACCATCCAGATTGTGACGCATCGTGTCGTCTGACTTTTTTGCAGTGCTTCTGTTTTGCTTCAATATACGCCAGCATAGCCGCCAAATCCTATATTTTTAATTTTTTTTTTCTGTTTATAGGATTTTGTATGTGGACGGCCGCAATATTTTTTCACATCGGCCGCAGGTTGTGCACTGTTGGTCTAGCTAGTTCATGATCAGCCGGTTTACATGCTTATCGTTTCACTATTGTGTGTTACATAGAATGCAATACACCTCAGTTGGTCTATTTGTAATTTCATTTTGGTTTTACTTAGTTGTGCCAGAAGTCAAATATCATTTTACTTATCAATTCACGTTTTAACTGAGCATTTGTTTCTGTAGAAAAAAAACTTTAGGTAACGTCTCAATTACTGTACTGTATTAGGAACCCAAACATCGCCTCACTTTAGCACTCTGAGCAACGTACCAACCGTAAAAAATATCCTCTGCATTTCATCGCTGATTATACATTGCGGGTTCCCAGGTTATAATATCGAGAGATGAGAACATTTTTTTAAACAACTTTGCCCAAAGCATGGCCGCACGGCTCAATTAACGGTGAAAGGTGATCAATTTTACAATGAGGGTTTCTTGGTACGATAGCCAACGCTCGCTATTCTTGAGGGGCGACTAAAGATAGTTTTGGGGAGAACAAAGGAAGGAAATCCCAATGAACACAAAGCGTTATAACATCTGCAAAATAAGTTTAATCGAGTTACATTTCGACGATTGACTGTTTCAGGTTGGTTTATTGGACCGATGACTATCTATATAGTATATAGGCAATCTGGATTGGTCTTATAGAGGTTCTCTCTCTCTCTCTCTTGTAAGAAATGAGAAAGTTTAAATGTATCCTATTTTTGATTTCAAATTGTAAAACCTCAAAAATTAATCATAGTAAAACCCATTTGTTACCCTTTATATTAAAAGGCATAATATCTGTTTTGCAGGGTATAACTACAACCAACATCATTATCCAAAGTATGGCCGGTACTCGAAGAAATAATTCACGATTCGGAGATTGCAGAACGGCAATATTGGACTGCAAAAATCCGCACAAATCTCAGTTTTTCTAGTGTCGTGTAATTTTCTTTTTGGTGCCCTTTTTTCGGACCTTCAGAAGTATGTGCACCGGGATGGCGCACAACCTGAACATAGTATATATATGTACCAGGTTCATGTTGTGCGCCATCTTGGTGCACATACTTCGGGTAGCACTCTTTTTTCTTACTACGTTGTCGCCGCCTTCCCAATATTTTGCATGTTTATTCTGTGATACTAATCTGATGAATATTCTAACATAAATGTGAATTGGGATACCTTCTGTGATGTTCACTGATGGATAGAAAAGATATAATTCTGTATTGAATATACCAAGACAGCAATATTTCTTCCCGTACCGCCACAAATAAGTAGAACATATTCAGTGCGTATTTAAGCCTGCTTGCTTGTCGAATAAGGTACCTATGTGCTGATTAAAATTTACTGCTAATCAGTAGCTCAAAAGAGTCGCCTACCTTTTTTTGGCGCAATGAGAGTGAGACTAGATACTAGAGCAAGAAATTGGGAAGCATGTATTTGAAAATGCATATATTTCAGTCAGAGACTCTTGTCATTCGAATTTTTTTCATAAATACTGTAACCAATGTTCCCTCTAATTTTTTGTAGTATGTGTGCGCAGAAATTTTGGTGTGTGCGCACTTTTTTGGAAATGACTAATATTTGTGCAAAAACCGGGTAATAAGTGGGCCAACAACAAACCTTCTCAACCTGCCAATCGAGCACATTGTTACATTACATCGAAATACGTCTGTGCGCAGTAAATCTATGCGTGTGCGCAGTCTCTGAAAGCTGTGTGCGCGCGCACACGCGTGTGTACCAGGTTATGGTAAGGGCATAGTTTTATTCCGATTTTCCTCATTTTAGTTCTATAACTGCATGTGTTAGCCAAGTTAATATACCCCCCACCCATAGGTTTCAGTCCCTTCACACAACTTGATGTAAAGTAGGCAAACAAAATTAGTTACCACCATATTGGTAAACATCTTTTTGGAGGGCCTCAACTACACCATTCAAATAAAACTCAATGACAATTGATTATATTGGCAAATATATACTGTAAGTAATGGTTGTTGTTGTAGTGTGATTCTTCAAACTTTTGTTGTCCATTGTACCATTACGTAATTGTGACGTAATATTTGAAAAAGTTATGTGCGTTGCGAGCTCTTGTCTTGTCAGGTTAGCTTTGTATTTATTTCGTTCTTCCAGATTGGAAGAAATTTTACATCATCTCCAAACTCCGGGAAAACCAGATTTTAACCACAAAAACTTTGATGTATATCATTAATTGCGACTGTCGCGAATGACTGGTCAGATTCTTTCTTGGTGTCTATCAAAAATCTTAATTGATTACCACCATTGGATGTCCAAAATTTCGACTCCTGACTCCGCGGAGCTTGGAGATACTACGTGTACAGCTTCGGTAAAAACATGTCATTTGCGACTATACAACTTTGGCTCTCACGTTCAAGTAGCTAACTGGAATACTTACATATCAAATTGAGTAATAAATGCAGTATCCGGCAATCGTTTTATAAAAGATAATTCTTTTGCTTCTTCGTGAGTGTTTTCCATTCCACTGATATTTTTAATTTTTGCGAATCTTGATCTGACAACACTTCTTACTCGCATGCCTGTAAATCATGATGTTGCTGATCGACCATGTCTTCTCTTCAAACAAATAGAGTTTATAATTTTTTTATACTGGCGTATTCTTATAGATACAAAATCGATTTGCTACCTGTACATATTGTACTATATTGACTATTTTATAAGTCAATAGGTATTGACATATAGTGCAATATTATTCTAAGTCAAATACAAACAAGGGTCCAACCTACCATAAGATTTTTCGACTTCGGAGATCCCATGATCATAAAAGCATGATCTTGTAGTTCAGGCGTTGGATTGGAGTAGAAACCCTGCTAACATTTCCCGCAGTTCGACCACCCGAAGAGCGGTTTGTAGTATGTACCAAAACAAGCATTCATATAGGAGATTCAGAAAATATAAGCGAGTAAACAAACTAATATTAATAAAAGAACAACTCCGTTAGAATGTATTTGTTTTGAAGTATCTGGAGGTTGTTTTGTATTACTTGTTGTGTTGCAATGTTTACAATGTTTATTTTAACAGAGTTCAAGAGTGGAGCCATTAGCAGAGTAATCAAAATGAAGTATGTGAGAGTATTGTTTAACATAGTCAACAAGGACTACCGCTTCCTTGCTCCTCCATAAAACCATTAAAAAAATAACTTCACATTATTGTTGGCATGCAACATAATAGACTAAATTAGGGCATATCTCACAGGAGGTTCTCCAACCCTGATTTTGACCCCAGAACTCTTGTTCTTGCCAGCAAATATAGTTAATTTTCTAACATAAACATAAATTTCTATTCTTACTTCCTTTCTGCCCTATTTTCCCTACAACTCACTTTTCAATCTTAATCATGAATAAATCGTGAATCAAATTCAGTTTTATTGGAAATTGGGAAATATAAATCTAGGAAAATTATAAACAGAATATTTGATCAATTAATTAACACCATATTTTCAGCATATATATGTATGTTTTGCTTCTCGAAAGTACATTGTTACATTTCAAAAAATAGAACGTCGAGTATGGTCTAAATTAAAATGCGCCAAAATATCGAAATAATAACAAAACTCAAGTCAAAGGGTAATAAAGGTATTTTCACTAGAAGTACTGAGTGAAATACTCTGACACAAAACAATAGATTCACAACTGAAATCATGATTTTTGAGAAGAAAAATATCTCAGATGAATTTTTTGAATCAGTGACCCCTGTGAACAAATTCATAGTACGCCTTAAATCCACTTGTTTCTAAATTTTCATCGCTGAAAAATTTAACATAAACAACTTCTTCGATGCTTGAGAAAATATGGGCCGGTTGAGCGCCGCAGTATTCTGAAACTCCATGGATTGTTGCTGCTATAAGTACTCTGTCATGCGTGCATTGTCCGTCTCCGTTTGTTTCTATGTCCATATCAACAAATGTTATTTGTAATTCTTTTGTTGAGTCAAAATTTTCGAATCGCCAGGAGCAGTGTGAATTACTGGGATAGGCTGAAGGATAATTTGGTGACATGAAGAATCCAGATTCTCCGTCCAACGGGGTTATTGTGTGGCCGCAGTTAGCGCGCTCATTTGTATTCGAAGGTGGAACGATTCCCGGTGATTGAGGCAGTGAATCATTAGGTGAGACTGAAATAAAGAGTATATTAACATAAGTTTAACGTGATTTTTATTCAAAATAATATATATTCTTTATTGTAATATTTCGGTTAACTTATTTTTTATAACTATCAGTAGAGGTGCGCGAGACTAATTCCCAATCCTTTCTCAATGCCTTTGCACTAGTGGATCCGTATGCGTGTGGAAATGAAATATATTTGTGTTATTGTGCAGCAGAACTCTTGAATTGCAACTTATTTTTTGTTGCAGTTTGAATTTTGAATTTTGCAAGATCCGCATTCAGAAAATTTCTTACATTTTTTAAAAGGCTATATCATGTAGTTAGTTGCCTTCGGTTAAAATTTATTATGTTAAATACCCATAAATTAAGACTCATGGGAATCGTTTTCAAGTACAGTTTTACAATTATGCTTGCTTTAAGTTTCGGAAAAACTTGGTCAAGATCTCTAACATTCCAGGTTAATAATTGTGATGTCACAGTTACTGTTCCAATTCCCTGTCGAATTTAATGGAAGCTGACATTGTTAAACCGGAGATATAAATAGGATTAGTCATAGTTTGGATATTTTACATAACGTTCAATAATAAATCTAAATTTTGTATGTAGTTGCGTGATATTTTCGTTCTTTTCTCCAAGAGCAAGGTCCCCACAGAATGCTTTGCCGTGCCGCATGCGGCAACGAGACGCGTAGTTTGCTCAAACCTATCCTAACCTCCACAACAATGAATTGTAAGTTAAAGCCCTCATGTCGTGTTTAGTAAAAGCAAATCAAAATCTAAACTCACATATTTGGTAACTCAGTACAATTCCTTGTTGTTTGGTTTCCTCGGGATACACGGTCATTACAACGCTGATTTCGTTATGAGAAATGTAAAAATATTTTGCGGTATTAACACCATGCTGGTAGTTCACAAGTTCTTGTTGATTGCTCTTGATGACAACCTACATTTACAGAATGAATTAAATATTAGAAGGGAAGTATCAAAATAGATGGAAAAATCAGGCCTGTTTTCAGAAGTTTCTGAGGTTTCAAGTACACGATTTTAGAGTTATTCATGACGTTTGAATTTATGATACATGAACGTACAGGACAATGCGTTTTCATGTGTATAAAAAGTATCTTACATCATTTGACGACATGTCCAATTTCTCCACCTTTAAATCGATCCATGATCCTTCAGGCAACTGGATATCCCATTCACAGTACACTGTGCTCAATGAGTGATTTAGTCCAGGCATGGAGACTATTCCACTGTTGCTATTAAGGGTGCCACTGCAGTTGCTAGCTCTTTCTATTAATTTAAAAAATAGTGATTTTCATTGTTGCCGACCGCGCAAGATTGTAAGATGAGTTTAATTTATGTTTTTGTTGACACTACTATTTGGTTAACATGTAAAACGGCATTATTTGAATTATATGTATAGCTTAGTTTATTCTGTGTTGATAATAATATACTATGAATATAGAATAACCCAATAATACCTGCACTGCCAATTAAGTGCAATGTTTCTGTAACAATTGTTTTTACTAATACACTTACCGATAGTTGGAGCAGAATAGTAATCGTTATAGCCGTACATACTGTCATATTCCATAATGCCTGAAATGTAGAGAAGTATTCATTGATATAATATTAATAATAATAAATGACAAACTGCCACAACAGAAACTCTTTGATAGATTGAATTTGTTACATATGTTCTACAATATAATATGATGTACATATGTACACGAATCGGTATGTGCATTAAAATAAAAGAGCTGGTTATAGATTGTTAGATACCCTTTCATTTAAACTTATAAAGAAAACTCATAAACTGTGTGGTGAATGTATTGTTAAAATGAATTGTACGCATTTAAGACAAATTAATTCATAAAAATTTCAGCAAAATGCTGGTTTAGTATGGATAGTTTCAAAGTATTCTCCATTTTGCTAGTTAATTATTTAGTCCTAATGACCAAGGATTTGTACGTGGTTGAAAGATCTATACACGATGCCAACGGTATATAAAATTATATTTGACCATACCTGCTTGTTGCGGGCTGTAGTGCATCATCTGAGCACTGGCATGAAAAATTCTACCAAGCGATGCTGGCATTGGCTGAATACCAGCAGGACCTGGTGCAGCCATATATCGACCGCTGCGTAGTGAAGGTGAGATGCCTGGACTTGGCTGATGAGACGGAATGCTTGCCTCTGCTTCTTCATCAATAACATAGGGACACAAAATAGGTGGTTCAATAATATAATCCGGTATTGGCTGGCCCCTGTCCCAACATGGTGGTAAAGGAGGAAATTCCGTTGCTGTAATTTATACGAAAAAATATTTTGTGTTAATTAGAGACTATTAATTATCTAATTATTTAATACTTTCAGGTAGTAACAGTACGGGGACATGGTGTTTTGCAGTTGTATTATTTTGCAACTGATAAACCTGAATCATGAATTTAGCACGCTTTCAAATGGAAGTTATCAGAGCTTTCAAAAGAAATTTTCTGATATATTTTAATACCGATGTTGAAACTATTAAAAGTCAAAACTTGAATGGTGTAAACCTGGTCTGAATGAAACTAGAATATAAGTCCTGGGTTAAACAGCAACCTTGCCAAATAAAATTGTTGCCTCTTGAAAAGAAAGCTTCAAGGAGCTCAACATTGCACTTACAGGTTGACGGAGTAGTCGTTATTTCATCCTCTGGTAATACAACAACCAATGATGTCAATGGAGTCACAAAGTGATATTTTAGTGCTAGTGTCATAGCTTCATCAACGAGTTTCTTTACCTCCGCCTAAAATAAAAACATTAGATTAGGACATTAGGGGTACGCTGCATGAATATACGTTCTGCTAGGGTTAGACCTGGCTTGGGTTCGCATTTAAAAAAAACATGAATTAGAAAAAATTGTCGTTTGAATCATAAAGCCCAGTAGAAGTGATGTTGCAGAAAAGATCGGAGAGAAGTTGAACGTAGGGGGTCTTTGTCTGTGTACTATTCTAGATTACTACATTTTACTTTTCATGAAATGCACAAACCTCCATTGTCATAAACTTACTTAATTAATGTATTGTGATTTTTAAGCCACGCATTCTCATACTTACATCACTCTTTACAAAAAGTTTTTGTTTGAGTTTCTCCTTAATCGTATAATAGGCCCAAATTCGTTCGATGAAATCGTCGAAATCACCGGTATCTTCATACCAATGTTGATAATCTTCATCGAATTCATTACTGACTACACTGTATTCAACGTCACCATCGACCGACGTCCCAACGATTGTTGATTTAAGTGGTTTGTCTGAAACAATATTTTGAAATATTGATTTGTTTATTTGAAATTCGAACTTCAAAAAATTTCAAAGGCGTCAAAACAAATCAATTAACGTACCATGATCCAACTTTGCACCAACTACCATGACTTCCGATCCTCGGAAGTATTTCTCGTAATTCGTTTTGCTGACGTCAGAGACCGCTGATCCAGAGTAAGTCATTTGGACACGGAGTAGCAGAGGAGCGGCAACTTCTTTGAAAAATCCTTCCAGTTGTAAAGAAGCGTCTGAATCTTCATAAATTTGTCTAAACATTAGAATCCGTTTTGTGAAGAACCTTATCAATAAACATCTTGAAATAAGTTTTTATGGCCGCCAACTTGGAATTTACATCGTATGTACATTATACACTAAAATATATATATGTCGAAATAATGTTACGTATTTGAAGAAGTTGTTCAATAAATTTACAAATTTTAATTGTTTGCTCTTGATAAAAAGAAAACAAAGTATCTTAGTCGAAATGAAACGTTTTATAGTTGATTAATTTGATGGAAAGATTGCATGTTTGCATATTTCAAGAAAATTAAAATTTTGAAATGCTGGAAATCAAGACTTTGACAGAAAACCGTGGAATGACAAGTATGACTCTTTTCTCAATTATCAGTGTCATATATGAATTCCAATAACAAATACTATGCTTTCTATAAAATTAATTAGCTGTATATTTTTTTATTTTTTGCCAAAAATGTTTTTCCAATATTACTAGTTGTGTGGTATTTCATTTAACTTCAAATATCTGTTTTCTAATTAAATTGACCTGAACTTATCCAAGTTCCGCACAAATAGGTATTTACTAGTTCTCAATTCACCGCCATAGTTCGTTATAGTTTGAGTAATACTTTGGCGGTCGTCAGTGGTTTCGTCCAGAAACACATCCTAATTTCTTATGCGTGAGAGCTTGTGATCTTGCTTTGAACAATTATTTCCTATGAAAGTTAGCTTTTCTACCTTGAGATACCGTCGTTTTCATTTGCCATACGTTTCAGGAAATCGTGATTCAAATATTTTCCAAATCCAAGGCAAAAAACGGAGAATTTTCCTTTCACAGCTTTTTTGACGTTCAATCGTATCTTAGTTTCATCCGTTACACCAGAGGTGGGATCACCATCTGATAGTGTGATGATTGCAGAAGACACCCTGTCGCCAGGTTTTACATGTTTCAATTGTTTGGCGCCTCGTAACAATCCATCATTTAAATTGGTTCCTGTACGAAAGATTATTAAACTAATTACTTCTATCAACAACTATTTGTTGACCAAGAAAATATCAATTCAATTTATATTAAATTAAAATTTTAATTCACCTCCTCCAGCTCTAATGTTTCTGACGTAAATAATTGCGTCATTTACATTTTGTTCCGTTACGCTGACTAGCTTTTTTCGCCACAATGTGACATCATTTGCAAACGTCACGATGTTGAATCTACAAAATAATACATTTCATATAGTATTATATAAGATAGCTTACGATATATTTTCAAGCAATCTAATGGCTTAATTTTGCATAAATATTTCATTTTTCGAAATATTGGAATTTGGCTTCGTATTGTCTAAAATTAGACTTCCAATCCGTGGTGTTAGGTATAATTTTACCCAAATTCAGAAATTTATACAAATCTCATCAAACTTGCTAGATTAGCATTGTAAAATCTCTGATTAATTTCACAATCCCTTTTTATATATACATAATATACTAATCACTCCCATAGTGTATTGTATTAAATTACAATTTCTAGATCGAACTGTATACATTGTTTCGCAAATTGAAATAATGCGCTTGACGGTCTTCCATTAAAAAATTCTGTTGTCGCGTAAACTAGACAAATGGAAGCATTACTTATAGCACATGAATTTTTTCACCGTTATTTTTTTTTGAAAATCCGCATTTGTAGCATAAAAATGCATTAAAAAGTCACAACTTACTCATCAAGTTCAGACATTTCTTTCAAAACAGTTTCAAAAGCTGTTTTTGTTTGTGTCATTTTAGTGCCAGACATTGATCCACTGCGGTCAATCACAAATACAATTTTCTTCGGAAGAACTGGTAAATTTTCTGGCGCAAAATAGTGAACAAAATATCCATTTCTTATTTGAATATCTCCTCCGAGCTCTTCCCTCGTAACATCATAGATCACTGTCACTTTGCGATCATTTTCGGGAATCATGAGCAGACGACGTTGCTGAGTTTGTGAGGGTTTGAATCTGTGTGACAAAAAGTATATATCTTCATTAATAAAGGGCTAAAAATATTCCAATTCAGCCGTTTTCACATCAACAAACAATTAATATATCATGCAATATTCATCCAAACGTGTACGTTTAGTATTTCTATTGGCCCAACACTATAGAATCAGTTATTTTCTAACTTTTCTTAAAGTTAGGTTTTATGACCTTCAGTCGTTTTTCTTCATGTACTTTCAAAAACTATGGTGCCACATGCATCGATTATCGACCGTGTTGTAGCGACCAAGCGACCGAAATGTTTCTAACTGATTTTTTTTCTGTTTGTCGAACAATGTTGTTTTTGGTTGAAAAGTCTTTGACTGAAATTTATAGCATAACCATCGATATAGCCAAACTATTCTTCCTCCTTAAACTACACAGTTAACAATATATGAAAAAATGATGTAGGACGATTATAGTATTATTTTATTTCTTCCAATTTGAGAAAATTGGGATTGTATCACCAGAACAGTACACTGGCAGACTTCCCAACCAAATCACTTATATGTAGATAATATATTACGGTCTATTTAAATGAGAGTAAAATCTACATTATTTCTATGTTTTGTATAAGACTGGGGATGGTTTTTTATTAAAACTTACGTCAATTTAGCTTGATATTTGCTTCGCCTGACATCAATGTCAATCGGAACATTTCCTTCCTCGTCATATCCACTCAAAGGATCGACATCGCCTATCTCGCCTACCTTATGTGGTGACTTAGAGTCCAGAAGAGTAAATCCACTTCGTTCCGTAATGTAAACATCAATTACAAAGTCATCCACAATCTAAAATATTTCAAATGAATTTAGTAATTACGAAATAATATAAAACGATAACGTTCTGCACTAAGGACAAGGCACAAGGACGATATTACACTAAAAAAACATTCAGCGAATTTCTAGTGATAAACCTATTCCATTCACTTACGAATACATAACATTATTGTGCGTCGCATGTCTATATTAAAATGTTTCTATCTCAATAGTTCCGAAATAATGGATGTGAGTAAAGATAGGTTTGGAGATCGGTACGTACCAACGTCCATTTTAAGTACTACTAAATATTCCTTTAATGAATGATGCATGTTACAACGCCGATTTTTATGAAAACAAATAAAGTTAGAAAAATAAAACAAATATTACCTGCCCCGGATGAACAAAAATTTCATGATTGTATTTAGAGAATTTCCTTTTCAAAAGTTCTTGATAAACTAATGTGAATGTTACACTGGAACGTGCTGGTACGTTGGCAGCAACGCTGAACGTATGTGTTTCTCTGACTTTGGCTGTGATCAGACCAGCTGAATGTCCCTGTTTCAAAACAACATGTTAGTAATTAAGTTTATGACATTTTCAATGTTGGCCAGTCAATAACCGAAAAAATCGGAATTTTAAAGTTCAATTTAAAATTGGAAATATTTTAACGCGGATATTTTGCGATGATATACAACTATTTTCTAATAGTCTATCGGGCTTTCGTGATTATAAGGTTTCACAAAAGATAAAACGCTATTCACTCCGTATCAAATTTGAGGATGTCAGTAAATATGCATTGCGCAACACATCATCGTTTTTACTTACACTTTCTGCTGCTTTTTTATATTCTTCTTCTGCAAGAGCCTTTTCTTTAACTTTCCCAACAAAAGTTACTCCGTCCACTAACCTGAATAAAAAGTAGCGTAATTAATCCCATGTATAAAAGCAGCATGGTGATCAACAACATTTACAAAGTGTTTGAAAACAGTCAAGCATGCTATTCAAAAATGTACATTAATTTCTGTAGGTAATTTTTCACTTACATATCAAATCCAGTAATAAATGCAGCATCTGGTAATCTTATTGTAAAAGTTAATTCTTTTGCTTCATCGTGAGTGTTTTCCATTTCACTGACAGTTGTCACTTTTGCGAATCTTGACCTAACCACACTTGTTACTCGCATGCTTGTAATTGAGGATGCTGCTGACCGAGCATGTCTCCTCTGAAAATTGATATAATGATATTATATCCAAAGGCAAATTTATATTTAAAGTATTAAATCTTGGTATAAATTATTGTTCCAATATAGCATTGTTGTTGCATAGCAGCTTTCTATTGTTTTCACGTTTAAGAGGGAACTTGGTAGATTAGAAATGTAAGGTTGCTTACTTTATGTAGGCTGAAACAGTTCCGAAACAGAAAATAATAAATCCGAACAAAATAGTGGACTTTTATCATCAAGTTCGAGCTCGCCCCAAGCTCGGCTCCAACCGTTCAGCGACACATACTACTGTTACTACAATACTGTTCCAGGTAGCCCTATTTTATATATATATATTTCGAACGTTCTTCCATGCATTTTAAACAAAGCACCTTAATTTGCACCTTAAAGCACAGTAAAATATATATAGCACAACTCACCAAAATATTCGACGTCTTTTGAGACCCAAAAATCATAAATGCTTGGTCTTTCAATCCAGACAACGATTTTGCAGAAATACATTGTAAGCACAAGCAAAGTGCGAGACCTGCTAACATTTTCGCGCTGTTCGACTTCATCTTCTTGTCTAAAGGTGAATGACGGTTTGATATTTTACTCAGGAATCGCGAATTTATAGGAAATATTGAGAGAAAAAATTGCAAACTAGTAAACAAAAAATATGCCAAATACGTACAAAGGTTTCAGAAAGCTACTTTCTCTTAAGCGTGGGTTGGTCAGTAATCGTAAATCGTTTAAGTAAATATTGTTTTGATGGAGTTGTTGGCGCTGTTTTCTCACGCACGTTCGTGCAAACGATGCAACCATTTGAGACGTAATCGAAACTCGGTCATCCGTGCTGATTTCAGTTTCGACGACCCATTCTCGGCGCCGCGTAGACGAAAACATTTCAAAAACGGAAATAAAAAAAAATAAAACGCAGTTAGAAATATTCTCTTGTTAGAAACTAAAAATTCACAAAAGATTTGTATTTTTTGATAGATTAACTTTCACGGGAACATAAATATCACGAAATAATAGTTACCTCGACGGATATCTTCAGTAGTGTCAATTGGGATTGTACTGTCTCCATTTTGATAAGGTTGCACAGGAAATCAACGAACGATCAAAATATTTTTGTTCGGTACCTGTTAAATAACAACTGTCTGACTGATCGAAACTACAAATCGAAAGTATCAACACCGTGCACAAATCCTCAAACAAAGACCATTTTACCGACAGAATTTTCGATTCCTATTTAATGGCAGCGTTCCAGATATATTTTAAAGATACAAAAAGCAATAAATAAACGACTATCTATAGTTCATGTTGTTATGAGGTGGACATTTCCCAATAAAACAGATTTAATGACAACAGAGTATTTTGTTGATATTTTCTACTTTTTTGTACTAAAAGTCGTGTTCGTCCTTTGCGTTCGTTTCTAAATAAAATTAAATTTTAGTATTTATGATATTCCGATTGATAATGTACGAAATATGATTATTTGAGGGTTAGTTTATAGTTAGTCACGGTTAGTTTATAGTCCGTAGTTTGAAAATATTCGAACGCCTGCTGAGTAGCACCGTTAAATGAAAAAAAAAAGTTAAATTATACCAATACCTGAGTTACACCACCAGTTTGGTGTTTCCTCTTTTGGGTCTGGCGTTCTACTGACTGATTTGACTGAATGCTATTAAACAGAAGCCAGAGCCCGGCCTTTTTTCGGCAATAAATTCTGGTTTCAGTGCAGTAGAACAAAGTCATAGCGCCTATTTAATCCGGCAGATTGAGCATTTCCGTCGCTAAAAAATTTAACAAAAGCGGCATCGATGGCACTGGTACCGGATTGACTGAGAACCTTGGTATGAATATCATCTCTCGTAAAGATCAGCGCTTTATTCTGCGACATTATTTGTCTTCATTGATTTCAAGGTCCATGTCGACAGATGTTATCCTATGTGGTTTGGCGACAAACCAGCCAGGTAAAATTGACAAATTCCCAGGTTAAAAAGTAAAGGAAAGTTTGTAGATGATACATATTCAGATTTCGCATCTCGAAATGAAATTATGTGTGCTCACTTTGCTCAAAGGCTGGTTATTACGATGTAGAATCCAATATTTTGCATCAAAAATTGCGATTACGTATACAGGATAAAATACCTAGTGAAATCGATGCGCTTTCTGAAAAGTTCGCATTAGTCAGTAAATGCTGTTATCCGTTGTATTTACTGGTGCATTTCGGAAACCGAATCTGATCCACCGAATTTCAGTTTCGAGAACTCGTTTCGGCGAGGATAGGAAAAGAAATTAAGTACAAAATATAATAAAAAAAAAGTTTTTTTTTAAAATTAAATCAATTGTTCCGTAGTGATATTTTAGAAGTATTTCTAGAACGGTGGTTCCAAGTGGTCTTTACTAATTAAATGCATATTTCAGGTGGCAGCGTTTAGTTGAGTCAATAGGAACTTATCCAATGTACATCAATTTCAATTTCAAGCAAATCACGACAATGTCGGTAAGAACTTAATTGGGCATTGGGTTGGTCCAATAGATGGCAAACCAGCCTGATCTAAAGCCACGCGTTGGCGCAATATGCACAAAAATAGCGTTGAATATCATGCCCCGTGAGATATGGGGGACTGAATAAATAAAAATACAAATAATAGCCATATAGCAACTTTTTCTATCTTAAGCACTAATATTTGTAAATCGATTAGTTTATTAGTTTAGAATAAAGTGATTTTTCAGAATAACAGCACCAATTTCACAAAACAATGCATTCATATGAAATTCTTCATGTTCAATAAGTCTTTTTCGCAAACGCTAATAATGTAATGCTGTCGAAACTTCAAAGCACGAGATACGGTCAAAATTCAGTCATTCATGTACAAATTATCTCCGAGTTTCGGTTATAATACCAACGCTGAAAATTTTTTTTCATTTTATTCGAGGGTTTGATTTCGATTTATTGTTTAATTATTAAGCAGATATATTAATAGTATTTCATCGCGATGAAATATAATTTTGTTTTGTGCCATCTAGGTGTTGTTAGGTATTATCTTTTCCCTTTTGTTTAGAGTTGTAGAACGTTGGAATTGGTTTAGTTTATGAAATTGTCTCTCATCATAATTGAATTTTAAAATTATCTGAATGGGTGCGACTTGTTGTGACGACAAGGTTCGGGAAAAAGCTTTGGGCAAAACTAGAAACCAGGGGCCCCATTCGCAAAACTTCCTCATCAATTAACGTGTTTGTAAAGCATCCACTTTCTCGTAAAACGAAAAAATGGTCTTCACGACGGATAGTTAATATTCGAGAGAATTTTTTGAGCGTAAAGTGCCGTATTCTCTCATTTTACCGAGAATGGGTATTCACCAAAGTTCTTTGACATGCTGGAGTGCTCGCAAACTAACGAGGGGAAAATTTTCTTCGTTAATAGTAGTTCGGCTTGCTCTTAGCAAGTTGCAAGTTGAAATGTATGTTGTTTATTTGCCTCAAAAATGTAACAGTATCCGCATAATATTTAAACGGTATAACATAGACATACATGTTCAAGACCTTACTGGCCCAAGACACGGATGTGCGATATGCACCCCGACCCATTGGTATTAAAAAATACCCTAACTTGTATAAGAGTGACAGTAGTCTAGTAGCTGTGGTCCCACCTATGTATGCCAACTCTATTCACCGGAATACAGGTATCTAAGACTAACTCAATTCAGCAATTGGTACCTATTTTATTGTCTGGTACAGAAGTAGTTTAACAATATGTACGCCAGAACTTTATCCATAGATCACTGCTATATGCCCCAAACTTTAAAACACAGGCTGCAAAAAGTAAAACAGAGACAAAATTGATTGAGAAGTCGTTGCAAAATAGGCTTGTCCGCTTCGGGTAACTGGCGAGCGGCGGTGAGTGATACGGTTGAGTGATCTTACAGTGGTTTTGTTTAACGATGACCGTGCGTGAGATTTCGAGAGAACTTGCGTGGCCGTGCGTAAAGTGTTTACGAGATCTTTCGTGAATCGCACTTAACGAGATTTCGCAACTGGATTTTTGAAAGACAAAGTTACGTGCTCGTAAACGCGGATTTTTACGAAGTTTAGCGAATTTGTTTTATTTGTGCACGTTTAACGAAACATTTTACTCATATTGCATGAGAGGTCAGTAATCATTGCGCCACTATCACGCATAATAAACTTCCCGATTATTGTTTATACGCACGTTATGGGTCATCAGGCTCACGTTATCGAATTACGTCCATCTCTTACTCCCCAATAACAACAAATAAAAATAGGAGATGAACGAAAATAATCTAGAAATGCTATGTCACAAGATAAATATATATTGTTCCTATGTAGACATATAAACATGAGGTATAAATGAAATCGAACATTCACGATGACAACGATTTCATAACATTTAGAAGCGATGACGTCGCCACTGACCCTATTGCGTGACAAAGAAAGAGGAACGAGGAAAATATATTGCTCTAATAGAAACTGCTGAATCGAAAGGAAATAATTACAAAAGAAGACAATAGGTATATAACCGCGAAGGTCAAATGTTAAAATCGTGTTTTTATGAATTAAAATGAAACAAAGGCAATATTTGGGGAAATTATTCCGTGAATAAATTCAAAAAATGATAGCAATCTAGCGACAAATTGCTTCAAAATTGCTAATTTTCCAAAATATTCTTGAATAATTTCAAACTCGCTTTGTATCCTAGATGTACAAAGACAACTTTGTCTTGAGCAGAATTTGTGACACTCCCGTAGTATGTGTACCAGGTTCGGGTAAGGCCATAATTTTATTCTGATTTTCTTATTTTATTTCTATTACGAGTTCGGGGACCGTCTGTGTTAGCCAAGTGAATACTCCCTGCCCATAGGTTTCAGTCTCTTTACACAACTTGATGACAACAGGCGAACAAAATTAGTTACCTCCATATTGTTACACATACATCTGGAGTGCCGAATTTGTTTTATGAAGTAACCACAATGACTTGAGTGTTATTTGTGATTAACTAAAACGTTCTGTGATTTTTTTTACTACACTGGTTACTACAATATGTCTGGGATGAGAACCCTTAGCAAAACTCGAACTCCGATCTAACCCAAAATTTCTAATACAAAAACTTAAATTTTCAAATAGATTTTAAAATATAAATAGCCTCAGATCAATAATACAAACAAGGCGGGTCAATTGGAGTCATTTATACAATCTTTTTGTCGTTTGAATCTCAATTCGATTCACCCGACCCGCTATACAATTGCAACTTCATACATGAGAGAAACCTGAAACCTGATATTAGTTTCTATGTCGTCAGCATAAGATTTCCAATTCTTTTGGGGTTTTAAAACTCGTAACCTAAAACGAAACCCAATACATTGGGACACTCGTAGTAAGGTAATTTAGGTTTTGAATTGTCATGAATGACTTGGAGAACCTGTCTTGTGAATTAATCGGTTCCATAAACAAAATGGCGATGGTGAATAATAAATGGCAATAAAGTGACTAATTCCCTTATTTTATTGAGTCCTAAATTAATATTTACAATTTTAAAACATGCTCTTAGGCGGTTTCTCACAGTATGAAATGGAAAAATATTATTTTATTTGATATTTTTCTGATTTCCTATTTTTGTTACAATTAAAACAAAGCTTTATAAATGTAGCCACGTTGTTTTTGGAAGTGTCGGGATTTTTCCGTTTCAGTATATAAAGCCTATACCTATTTTTTTAACGTGAAACGTGGTGTGGTGCAAGGGTTTCGACCCGAGATTTATCATATATTATAGTAGTAGTATCATATCGATTAGCACTCGGAATGCATATACATGTATTGTTACACAATGACGATGTATTCACGAAACACATCGCCGAAACTTTAAGGTACAATGTGCAGCACTTTATAACTAACTAATGCATTTGAGTAAACATGTGTGTAGTACTTGACGAACTCATTGTAGTTTTTGTCGATAAGTAAATATCTACAGTTTTTCGATACGATTTGGTATTGATGAGCAAATTTTGCTTAGGAGTGAGAACTTTACGGCAAGGCATGATGCTAGGTATTCACATTGCCTACAGTAATTGTCATAGTATTAGAATACTTTTTACAGTACTAAGTTTAGAGTATAGCA